CTCACTTGTGGCCATTCGATTCGAGCTACCAAATTGAACTGTTATAGTTGATCTGAGTCGTTCGTCTCGACGAATCTCGACCGTTGAAATCTCACCTATAAAAATGCCTTCGTTTCCCTCGTCATGAGGTTACCGTGCTTTTGAATTTCTCTTGCTCGAGCTTCCTCAAAGAAAACCCAAGCTCTCACCCTCTTCTTTGAACGAGATGGCCCCTAAATTGAAGATGTTAGCCTCCAAGGGGAAGGAGAAAGTTTCCTCTTTTGCCACTCCCGATCGATGCCGCCGCCGCCGCTGCTGCCGGCGTGACTCAAACCCGTTCTTGTACGCATAAGGTACTGTAGGATCGAACGTGGAGGAGATAAGAAGACTCCTATTCATCTCCTAGTAGGCTCTGCCTACTCAGGTGAGGTTCGCTATTCTGGCGAGCTTCAGATGAATCCTGACTATCGAGCGAGCTCAGTCTTATCAGGCGAGCTTGGTTTTGTCAGACGAGCTTTGTGTCAGGCGAGCTTTGTTAGCCCACCTGTCTAATGGAGCTCGCCTGCACATGGCAGGCTGCTTGTTTCCAAGACTTAGACAATTTTTGTCTTCTCGAGTTAAAAATATCTAACTCCCTTCTGCTTTGTCTTGTAGTTGTTTTCGCCGATAAGGTTCTACCAAGGGGCAGGGCCATTAGACTTGCTGGTGGCACCGTTTTGCAGCTCCTCCTAGGTTTCTGCTCCTTGATCCGGTGCCAGTGTTTGATGTTGACAATATGAGCGAGCTGAAGCAAGCGGTGTCCGAGGGACACTATTTAACACTGCAAGAACTGTCCACCAATGCGGCGCTGGTGGACTCTCAACGCCGGGAGATGAGGAAGCCTGATTTTATGTTTGGCAATGTCGTAGCTGACCCCTCCATCATGTTTCTTGGTGAGAGCATGTGGCTCCGCGAGATAGACGGAGTCCGTTATTTTCTCCCCAGCATGGCGAGGGGGTTCTCATTGGTAGAACTGCGTTCCCTCTCCATCCCCCGTACGAATAACTGGGAGCTAACCCCATCTCAGGATGGAGTTACTTGTGGAACTTTCATCGGTTCTTCGGCTGGTTACGAGGTCGACAGCTCCAGTAAGCATGTCATTGCTCTGCACCCCGACCTCTTGTAGAGTGAACTGCTCGTAGGAGAGACACATGTCGTAGTTGAGACCTTTTGTTGTCATTTCCTCAGAGCTGGGGGTCAGTTCCCCTAAAAGAATTTTAGAGCCCCTGGGTGGATTCACTTGTCGGCGGGCAACAGTTCATGGTAGTATAGAATCATCGAATACATGTTGGTGGAGAACTCTGACTTGCAGGGGTCAGATTTATATAGATCAATCAGGGCTACTCAACACAGCCTCAAGATCAACGTCCCCCAACTTCACAACATCCTAGAACTCTACTGTTCGGATAGCGGCACATTCTTCATGCCAAATGGGGGAGTTAGGATCTTCACTTTATGAGATGTATGAAGTGTATGGACTGTTGATGGAGGAGGTCCCATACAAAGAGTACATCCCCAGCAGACAAGAAATCAACCACCTTTTTGATCAAGCCCCTCAGATGGTGGAGACTCTATGGGAGCTTCTCTGCCACTATCACATTTGCTTGGATACCCTTGGATTGGTAGACCACAAGGGTAAGAAGAAAAGGACGCCAGACATCAGCCACAAGAACTGGGCAGATTATTTGTTCCCTCAAAATGAGGATAAGAGACGGGCTATATTGTCGCTGTAGGAGTGCGATCCAACGGAGATAGAGAGGAGAATATTCGAGAGTAGTGATTCAAAGACCCTTGATCATGATGAAGATGATTTCAAGCCTGGAATGACCTTTAAGCTGTACCATCATTGATTTGGGTTTGCGATATCAGCGAAAGCCTTGCTCGCTGGCTACTTGACGTTATGGCTAAAGAGATGTGTAGTTCCCACGCATTCCTTCGAGTCAATTCTGGTGGACGTAGTCTACCCAGCTATTCACTTGGCCTATGGACGACCTTATGCCTTAGTGTCAGCTATGACGGCTTGCATTCAGAGCGGGCTTCAGAAGCTATCAAAAAAGTTTTAAGAGAGGGCTTGTGCTTGTGCTTGAAGACCGAGTGCTATGACTGTCGAAAGTCGACTACCCGAGCTTGATAGATATCAAGGCCTGAAGCTTAGAGAGGGCTACAATGCAAGAGTTTATAGAGCCAATGAGCCTCATATCTGAGAGTTTAGATCGAGACTACTTTAACAATCTAAGCTTGCAGCCAAGAATGTTCTACCAAGCAAGCAATTGAAGGTCTCTGTCTAAAGAATCTTGAGAAGAGCCAATGAGAGAGCTAAGGGCAAATAAGCCTCTACAATCTTCAAGCCTTTTCTTTGTGAAAATGCTAAGCCCCGCCAGCCTCCCTTCACATTGTCTGAAGGTAGCTTTAAACAGGCAAGGGATGGCATGGGTCATCCCTTGATTTGTGGGATGTGACCACTTAGGGGTAAGGAGTAGCATAGCCCCCCTATGGGATGTGACCGCTTAGGGGTTCCCGCCAGCCACCCTTTTCTTATAGCCATCAATGGCTATTTGTAGAATATGAGAGTTCTGGCCAATCCCTTGATTTGTGGGATATGGCCATGCCTAGGTGAGGAGCGCCATGCTCTCCCCCTTGATTTGTGGGATATGACCACTTAGGGGTAAGCAGTAGCATATTCTCTCCCTTGAAATGTGGGATATGAACGTTGATGTGACTGTTCTCATACTCCAAGTGGGCAGTTGACAAGCGTGCTGGCGAGCTGTCAGGCGAGTCTGGCTCATGCGGGCGAGCTTGACTCATGCAGGTAAGTTTCAGGCTGTTAGGCGGGCCAGACTCATGCTAGCGAGTCAGCCAAACAAGCAAGGTTTGGTCCTATGGAATTTGGCTC